GTTTCTGCATCTATAAAATAGGAATTTATACCAGCAGTACATACTTTACAAGCTTGATGTAAAGACTGAATAAGTTCCTGAATGTCAAGAGGTTAACTGCTTTAATGAGTTATTTAACTTAATTCTTAACTTAATGAGTTATTTAAGTTTTTTAATTAAAATCCCAATGGGAGCCAATATCCTCAGAGTTTCCTCACAGTTTCCAGATTCTTACATAGAAAAGTTCAATCTCCATTTGTTATTAGCCATGTGGGGACATCCATGACTCATGTAAGGTAGCACAGATATCATATGTGTGTTAGAGCAAGCCTACAAATATCACAGAAGTGCTCATCACTGTGCCTACGCATGTAATGTGGTATAGGGAGTGTTAGATTTTTCTGCCCTTCCCTTCTTTTCTATTTCTTTTTTTGGAGACTTGTTTTGGGGAGAGGCAGTTGTTTGAAGCAGGTGTTTGGGGGTGGTGTGATCTTCCCCCAGACCTTCTCTGGGTAGGCTCCAGAAAGAAGAATCTGAGAAAGGCTCTGAATGAGTATGGAAAAGATAAGTTCTGAGAAGGAATGTTCAGAAACAAGGATAATAATAATTATTATCATTTTTATTACAATAGCTAGTACTTATTTAGTGATAATGATGTGCCAGGCACTGTGCTAAGCCCTTATAAAAATTTTCTCATTTGATCCTCACAATAACCAGGGAGGGAGGCACTATTATTATACCCATTAACCTCCCCCAGAGGTTAAATAACTTGCCCAAGGTCACACAGCTAGTAAGCATCTGAGATCTGATTTGAACTCAGGTCTTTCTGCCCCTAGGTCCAGGGCTCTACCCATTTCCCCACCTAGCTTCCTCTGAGCAAGGAGCAAGGAGGGAGGATCTGAAACTTTGATGTGGTGTTAATACTGCAAGACTGAAGAGAAAATCTTGAGCTTATAAGTCATGGTGCTTATTAAGTGAATAGATGTTCCTAAAATGTAGGGGCTGCCCTGTGTCCCTTCATCCCCAGAGCAGTTGTACAGAAACTCAGAAGTCCAGAGAATCACTCTGTGAATTATATTTCTGAATTAAGTTATTGATTAGTAATTTACAAGATTAAGGCTCTTAGCAACTTGTCTAGAGTTGCTGCTGTTTAACCTTTGTTCTTGAAGAGGACCAATGATGTCTCAAGGGTCACATCACATCCTGACTTCCGAATGAATTGGATTTAAGTAAGGCAGACCCGGGCAAAGCCATTAGCCTCACTCTCTCCTCCAGAGTCATCGGAATCCAGCAGCAAGACAAAGGCCAAGATGGCTGGCGATTGCCTGGGATGCAGTGGGTGTGACTTCAGCTTTTCTGACTTAAAGTCTTTCTTAAGGTCTGACTTAAAACTTAAACTCTTTTCAAAGAACAAGAGGAAGCAACCTTGGAAAAAGAGCCCTGTTTGAGAAAACTTTGGGATTACTGCTAAACTAGGTTTTAGGCAAATCTTCTTATGGACCAGTTGTGTCTTTTGGGTTGGCTTTAAGATAGGGCAAGCCCACAAACTCATGCACCCCCTCCTAAAATAGAACCCAACCCTCAGGATAGTGCTGATCCATTCCCCACAATTTTGTGTTAAAAGCCTGTCTTGTTCCCAGATTCACCCTGTAAAACAGGGATTCTTAACCTAGGGGCAAGGGGGATTGTGAAATTAGACCTTTTAATATTTTGATAACTATATTCTGACATCATTGCTTTTAAAAATATTTTGATAACTGTATTTAATTATAATTGGTTTCCTTCTTAATCCTCTTATATTTTATACATTTAAAAGCATTACTCTGAGAAAGGGTTGATAGGCTTCACCAGACTGCCCAAGTGGTCCAGGACACAAAAACAGTTAAGAACTTCTGCTGTAGAAAATAGAGGACAACTCCAACTCAAGAGAAATTCCTTTGCATCAGAATATTTCTCTGCCAAAGAGACGAAGCGGTTGAGCACCAGAAATGATGGAAATCAGGACTGTCTCCTTCTTGCCCCATATGGGAAGGAAGGTTTTACTGAGCAGTCTGGATAGGGTAATGGCTGCTGACAATAAATCTGTGCTTGCTGTAATAACTATGCCTTTCATTTCTAGACCTTTCATTCTGGGATCCTGGGATACAATGAACTCAGAGCTCTGAAACCCAATTGGAACAGACCTCAATGAAGAATTCTAGGATAGCTTTTGAGGAACATTCAAGATTAAGGGCACCTCTTAGGTTCAAATTCCCTGGTACTCCCTTCTCTTTGGAGGCTGGAAAGGATCATGGGGTAATAGATTACAGCTGAAAGGAATCTGAAGGGCCATCTAATCTAGCATTTTCATTTTACAGATGGAGAAATCGAGGCCCAAAGAGGATCAGCAAATTACCCAAGGTCACATAGGTAGTAAACAGACCCAGTATTTGAACCCATTTCTTCAGTCTCTAAAACCAAGACCACTACCTCCACTGCCCCACCCCTCTATTGAACTTTTGGACAGCTCTAATGGTTAAGAAGATTTCCTTGTGTCAAACTAAAAATCTACCTATTTGTGAATTCTGCTCTTTGCCCCTATTTCTGCCTTCTGATGTCAAGCAAAAAAAAATGTTTAATTCCTATTCCATGACATTCCTTCAAAAGTATGAAGACAGGTTTCGTGTTTTCCGGCTATTCCCAATCTTTTCTCCAGTCTGAAAATCCCTGAAAGCTTTCTTTATCCCTGGACTTCACACCTAGAAAGTACGACCACCTTTGTGGCCTCTCTGTCTCTGACTGGCAGGTTGTTCTGAGAACTTACATTTTAAGTAGGAAGCCCAGACAAGCCATTCCCTCATTCCTCTCCAGGCTGCAGAGTTGATTCTCTAGGACATCCTCTACAATGCCCCTCTTTCCTCTTTCTTCCCTGCCTCCACTCCTACACCTTCCACTATTAGAATATAAGTTCTGAGGGCAAATATTGTCTTTTTGCTCATATTTATATCGCTAGTGCCTTATACAGTGCCTGGCATACAGTTAACAATAATGCTTGTTGACCTCTTTCAACCAACCACTGTATAGAATGGTGTCCCATCTCCTCACTGTTCTGGGCACGTCAGTTTGTCAAGTCTTTCATAAAATGTGGTGGACAGAACTGAACACACAACTCAGAATGTGGTCTGCTCAGGGTAGATCCCAACAATAAAGCCAATAATCCATCCCACAGGGAGTAACAGAGCTAGGATTTAAACCCACATCTTCTGATCCTGGATCCAACATGTTTTCCACCACACAATTCTACTTCCCTCTTATTCTCTGTTGCCAGTGAAAACAAAGAGAGCTGAAAGGGCAGGTGGGGTCTCTGGTAGAATACTTAGATGTTTTTGTTTTGTTTTTTGTTTTTTTGTTTTCCTTATCCACAGCATAGTTTGAGTTAGAACACACTGGTCTAGCTAACTTCTAGGCAACCTATCCATCACTGGAATTTTGTGTTTTTGTAAGGACAAGCCTCTTAGGTGGGGCTAGAAGATAGATTTCAGTTGAGTTGGAACAGTCTGAAACAAAATCTGCACACTAAATCTCCACTTATGCTTAGAGTTCTCATGGATCTTATTTGATCTTTCTCAATGTCAGCTAGCTTTTATGGGTGGGGAAATGTCTTCTGGGAGTGGAAGTCTAACGGGAGATTATTAGGGTTGGGGAAAATACTATAATCAGTAGCACTCTCACTCTCTGCCTCCATACCCAATTTTATTGATGAGCTATCAGAAGTAGGATAACGTCAGAATCACAAATCCTGTCTCCTGACCTTAGCTGCTCTCATTTAAAATTATTTGAGGACCTTCTAAACTCTTCCCCAGAGAAATCCAGAAATCTCACCATCCTTGCTGGTTCGGGACTTGTTTTCTAAAAACAGCTTGGTGTGATGGCAAGAGTGCTAAAGAGTGAGGAGGCATGTCTTCAAATCTTGGAACTGGCTCCTTTCATCTCCTGTCCTGCCAGACTTCTGGTCCCATCAACTGCTTCTGTTCCCTTGGATCATTTCCATCATCTTTCCCTATGGTCCCACATAGACTTCTTTCTTTAGTTCTGTCTCCTATTCTCTAGGGACACTTTCCAATCTTTCCTTTTGCATAGCAATGAACTAATCCACTATAAGCTTCCTATATGTGTGCAGTAGCAAGATGAGTAGGTAATTAGAAGTAAGGTCAGTGTTCTTTTAGGTGATGCTTCCCTTCGTGACTTTCAGGTTGAAGCTCTCTTGTCTTTGTTCCTGCTGTTTCCTGTGCTTAGAATGCCCACCCTCTCCTCTTTAATTTGTTGAATTACTATACAAGCCTAACTCAAATCCTTCATGACATCTTTTCTGATTCCCCCCCCAACTTAGACCTCACATGGTATTTTGGTTTGTACTTCTCTAATCTATTTATCATGTAATATCGTGTACTCTAATTCTCTAATTATGTCTTACCTCTCTACTAGAACATAAGCTCCATAAGGGCAAGGGCTGTCCTTCTGTATCTCCTCCAGTGCCTAGCACAATCAGTTAATAAATACTTGTCAAGTAAGAGCTGTCTCTCATGGTTATTCTTGTATATCCCAAATCTTCCTGACTTGCTAGCCTTCCTCTACTAGTAGTTAGTACCTATCAGATGATATGTTGTTACCATATGTTGCAAGTGGTTTTTCTTCCTGTATTTTCTATTATTTCCCTTTCCCTTCTTTATCTGCATGGTGTAATGGAAAGACCACTGGACTTGGGAGTCTAAGAACCTGGATTCAAAGCCTGGATATGCCACTTTCTGCCTATATTACCTTGGGCAAGTCACTTACTCCCTCTGGGCCTCAGTTTCTTCATCTGCAAAATGGAGGGGTGGAGAAAGGCACATGTTCTAGATGAACTCCACAGGCCTTCCAACTCTAACACTGATTCCACAATCCTACTCCCTCAGTCATGGTCCTATCTCACAGCTTGCTTGGTTGTTTCCCCTATGCATATGCTCCATGAAGTATTACTCCTCAATTACATGAAACCTGTGGTTAGTGAAATTAGTTTATTAATCTTGAGCACACTTGGGAGGGTGATAGTGTTGGTCTCTGAGGTTTAAAATGGGGTGGACTGGAGGGCTCTGGAGTGGAGGCCTGAGTTTGGGAGCAAGGGAGGGAGTGAGGTGAGATATAAAGGCAGGGTTCTTTCTTTGCTTGGGTATAGGTGCTCTATAAGTAACTGGGCTCTGTTGCATGGCAACTGATGGTGCCATTAAAGATAAAGGCACAGAGAAGTGGGCAAGCAGGATGGAGCACTAGGCAGCATCCTCTTCCTGAAGCATCAGAGTTTCCCTGGCCTCAGGGCTCTCTAGATCTTCCGCAGGGATTCTTGGTGGCTCTAGCTCCAACCCTGGTTCTGCTTCAACCACTACCCCTGTCTCAGGTTGATTTTCAACGCCCTGGTTAGCGCCCAATCGGGGAGGCTTGGTGGGAGTAGGTGGAGGTGGGGCAGGACCCTTGCTCTTTCGGGTGGACAGTGCCCTTCTAAGGCTCTGCACCTTCTCTAAACCAGTACGCCGAAGACGCTTGGCCCGGGATTCCACTGGCTCCTCATCTGAGCTGTCCCTTTCTTCCAGCTCTTCTAGAGCCTCTGGTCCCAGTTCCTTCTCTTCCAGCTCTGTGGATTCTGGCTCCTTTTGAAAAGCTCTGGCTGGAATTTCTGCCTCCTCCTAAAAGTGAAGAACAATGAACATTATCTTCCCAGCAACAATGTCTTGGTATAGTTGTTTAAGATGTCACTTCCAGAAGCAATACTGACCACCTGAGCTACCTGCCAGCTCAATATTATGCCTCTGCAACCCTCTCAAGCCTTCCTGCCTGGGAAATACTCCTGGCATAATTTGGGCTACCCCCTTGCTTCTACAACCCCAGAAGTGGACGGAATACCTAGGGAAAGGTAACTGAATCTAACTATAAGCAGGAATCTAGGCCTTATGAGTTAAGTTTACTTAGTGCCTAGAAGTCATTAAATTCCACCCAAGTCATTCCATTAAGGCTGAGTCACAGGAAGTTTTGTATTGGGTAGAAGCTACCCACAGCAGCATAACTAGGAATAACTGTTGAGAAAGAGGAAAAAAAATCCTTTCTATAACTTTTTCCACATGGGGATGGAAGGGGGGGATTGAGGGTCATGTCCCATACAAGCCAGGAGATGCCGTCGTCCACAGAAATGAACAACACATTAAAGGGCAGGACTCTTTAATGTTTTATGCAGCCTGGATCCCTCTGCCATTCTGGTACAATCCATGGACCCATTCTTAGAATACTTTTTTAAAACCCATAAAATACATATGATTATAAAGGAAACCAGATAATGTAATTTTTTCCCAGCCAAGTTCATGGACCTTCCTAAATCTATCCATGGACAAAGAGTCTGCGGACCCCAGGTAAAGAAAAATCCCTGGTGTTAAGGGAGAAGCACTAAGCCCAAAGAGTAGAGACCTGGATTCCAGTCTTACCAATGCCACTATCTTGCTGCCTGACTTTGGTTAAGTCCTTTCCTCTCTTTGGGACTGTTTCCTCATCTGTAAAACGAGGGCGCTGGACTCCGAGATTCCCTAAAGTCTCTTCCAGCACTCAATCTGCGTCTATGCCAACGTGGAATGTTGTACGGGTCTGGGCGGGGCATGAAAGGCGGGAGCAGCTACTCGGTCAAGGGCTTGTGGGCGTGGTATAGAATGATGACGCCAGCGTGGGTGCGGCTTGAAGCTGCACATCAGAAGCCCCGCGCCCGAGCCAGGAATGTAGGCGCGGTCGAAGGAACCGGGGGGTACCCCGAGGGACTAGGTTTGGGGGCCTGCGCTGGAGCCCTCACTGACCTTGAAGAGCTGGACGTGCAGCTGGCCGCGGGCGACCAGCAGCGCGTGGTTGGCCTCGAGCCGCTGCACCTGGAGCGCCCGGCGGATGGCGCGCTCGCGGGCGGCGTGGGCGTGCGTGCTGACGCGCTCGGCCTTGGCCAGCAGCTGGGCCAGCGTGTTGCTGGTGGCCCCGTGGCTGCGGCTGAGCGCGCCCAGGCCGCTCTGGATGCGGCGCACAGTGCCCGTCAGGCCTCCCTGCCGCCGGGCCAGGCCGCCCTGGCGCTCCCGCACCGCCTCCAGCATGGTGGACAGCTTCTCCAGTAGCGTCACCACTGTCACCGCGTGCACCGGGCCGCGCTCCACGGCTTCAGCCGCCGGCACGCCTTCACCCATGGCCCCTCGAGATGCCCGCGCCCGAGCCCACTCCAATCTGGTCCCGTCCCGTTCCTCCCTCTGCCGCTTGTGCTGTGCCCAGCGGTCTCCCGGGCTCCTCCTTCCGGGGGCGGGGAGCGCAGCTGGAGGGCCGGGGTCCGTGACTCAGACGGGCGGGGCCGGGGTCTTTAGGGGCTGCCCTTTCTCCAGCGCCACGCCCTGACCAAACCTCCCTCCCTCGTCCTGCGGGGCTCCTCCCGCAGAGGGAGGCGGGCAGCCGGGGGCCCTGGTCCCAAAAATTCCTCGTCCAGCGGCCACGCCCTGGACAGCAGCCTGCTCTTTCGCTCCGTGCTTGGGCGCCGTGGGCATCAGCACCTCCCTCTGACTCTGCGTGCCTAAGGAGCGAAGCTCCAGATCTGGGAGACCAGCCCCTTCGGGGTTATAGCGTTGTTTGAGGCTCGACTCCCAAAGACCACCTTCGAAGTCGGAAGCCCCTTGTGGGGGGAGGGGGCAGCAGTCCACCGCTCCAGATTTATTTTTACGTTGTTCCTCTTCACCTACTTAACGGTCCTCCAGCCAAACTGACTGGCTCACTAGCTGCTCCCTCTGATTGGCTTTCCCTCTGTGCCTTGTACCAGCTGTGCCAAATATCGATCCTCCAGGGAGGATCCTGTGGGCCCAACCCATTCTGAGACGTTTTCCCACTTGCACAGACTGTACTGGCATTGCTGTAGGGCGGTTTTCCCACCACTGCTGATGTTGGGTTGTTGTGTATTTGTTCACTAAGACCCCTGCCTGTGTTTCCCATTTGGGCCTGGGGATTTCCTGATTAACTGGCTAATTTCTTCTCCCATCCAGTACTTCGTCATTTGTCGTTGTTTCTTAAAACGTGGTTGTTCCCCCACTTAGTCTTTCTTTTTAAGTCTCATCCCTTCTGGTTGGAATTGGCTTCCTGAAATGCTCATCTCCAGCCCAGTTATAACCGAAGGAATAATTTATTTCACTGAAACAAGCCAGCCTTGATGCCACAGCCTCAAAGTTGTGTGGCCCCCATCTTTCTGATCTGTTGAACACCTTAAAATGGTTAAACGGGCCACCAAACCCCAGGTTTATGACTAGGCCACCTCCCTGAAGAAAGTGGATGATTGGGAATCAATAAACAGTCAATTAAAAAAAGTGAATAAAAAACTAAGCATCTACTATGCCAGGCACTGGGGATACAAAGAGACAAAAAAACAGTCCCTGCCTTCAAAGAGCTTATGGTCTAATGTACATCATGCAAACAATTATATAGAAAGCAAGCTTTATACAGGATAAGTAAGAGATGATTAATTGAAGGGAGGCACTGGATTTAAGAAGGGTTGGGGAAGGCTAGGAGGTCAGTAGTTAGAGCAGAGAAGGGAGAATGTTCAAAACATGGGGGACAGCCAGAGAAAATGCCCAGAGCAGAGAGATCAAATGCCTTGTTCCTGGAACGGCCTGGAGGCCAGTAAAACTGGGTCAAAGACATGTGTCCTAGAGTGAGGTGTAAGAGGGCTAGAAAGCTAGAAGGGGGCAAGCACCATTTTGCACTTGATCTTGGAGGCAACAGGAAACCACTGGAGTTTATCAAGTAGGGGGTGACATGATTGTACCTGGGCTTTAGGATTACCAGTTTAGTGACTGAATGGAGGAATGGAGGGGAGAGCTCTGAGGCAGGCATACCCAACTACAGGCTATTGCAATCTTCCAGGTGTGAGGTGATGAGGGCCTGCACTGGAGGGTTATCAGTGTCATCGGAGAAAAGGGGACATACATGAGAGATGTTGCAAAGGTGAAATGGACAGGCCTTAGCAAGGGGCTGGATATTGGGCATGGGGTGAGAGTGAGAAGTCCAGGATGACTCTTAGGTTGTGAGCCTGAGAGAAGGGGAGGATGATATTGCCCTATACAGTAATATGGGAGGGAGGACTGGAGGGCTTAGGGCTGGGGTGGGAAACCTTCAGCCTCAAGGCCACGTGTGGCCCTCTAGGTCCTCAAGTTCAGCCCTTTGACTGAATCCAAACTTCACAGAACAAATCCCTTTAATAAAAGGATTTGTTCTGTGAAACTTGGACTCAGTCAAAAGGCTGAACCCAAGGACCTTAGGGTGAAGCTGATGAGTTCCATTTTGGACATGTTGAGTTTAAGATGTCTACTAGACATCTTAGGGCAGCTAGATGAGGCGGTAGATAGGGTGTGGGGCCTAGAGTCAGGAAGATTCATCTTCTTTAGTTTGAAGCTGACATTAGACACTGTGTGATCCTGGGCAAGTTATTTAACCCTGTTTGCCTCAGTTTCCTCATCTGCAAAATGAGCTGGAGAAGGAAATGGCAAACCACTCTAGTATTTTTTGCCAAGAAAACCCCAAATAGGATCATAAAGAGTCAGATGCAACTAAAATGACTAACTAAAAACAGTTGTACTTCCAGTTCAAGATGTCTGAAAGGTAGTTGGAGATGTGAGGGTCAGCAGAGAGACTGGGACAGCATGAGTACATTGAAAAATCACAGATTTAGGCTTTTGAAAAGAAATTATTTAGTACAGTCATGAAGAAAAAGGCGGGAAAAAGGACAGAAGAAATGGAATGGAAACCTCGATACAATGGAAAGACTAATGCATATACAAATTAGCTTTCCTCCAAATCCTTGTTTCATTTAAGTCTTCATCCTCAACCCGTCAGCAGCGTTTGATATCTTTCCAGATTCATCCCCCTTTACTTAGCACAAATCATGTATTTAGATCTAGACGCAACCTGAAAGGTCATCTAGTCCAACCCACTCTTTTTACAAATGAGGAAACTGAGAGTAAGCGACTTGGCCAGGGTCACAAAAATAGTAAGTGGTAGAGACCTAATACACATCCAGATCCTCTGACGCCAGATCCCAAGTTCTTCCTCTCCACGTTGTGCATTGTCTCCAGCTTCTAACCCTCCTTCAACATGGGTATACAGTCAATGTTCTGTCCTTCACCCTCTTCTTTCTACATTATCTCTCTGGTATTTCATAACCCTCATGGCTTATATTACTGAATTTAAGTAGGTGACTCTTAAATCTATTTCTAATACAGACCTCTCTAGAATTCCAACCTCACATTCTGCGAAATCATAGAATCTCAGTTGAAAAAAGAAGGAAAAGGCATTTATTAAGCACCTGCTGTGTGCCAAACACTTTACAAGTATTATTTCATTTAATCTTCACAACAACCTTGGGAGGTTGGTGGTATTATCATAATTCTTATTTTACAGTTGAGGAAACTGAGGCAGACAAATGTTGTTACTTGCTCAGAGTCACACACCTAGGATCTGAGACAAGATTTGAACTTGTGTCTTTCTGACTCCGGAGTCAGCACTCTATGCACTACATACAGCACCTAGCTATCTCAAAAGTTATCTAGTGTAACCAGTACCTGAACAGTTATAAACCTATTCTACAGTATCCCTGGTAAGTTGACATCCAGCCTCTTAGAAATCTTAAGTGTTGGACAACTAATGCAGCCTATTCCTCTTTCGGACAATGGTTAGGAAGATTTTCCTTATATCTAATTAAAATGTGCCCCTCTGTCTTCAGCCCATTGCTTCTTTCCTCTGGAGAAACATAAAACACTAATCCTTCCTCCTATGTGTTAGCCCTTTGAATATTTGAAGATTGGGTTCATACTCTCCCCACCCCTAAAAATCTTCTCTAAGCATTCTCAGATCCTTCAATTGATCCTCAAGCACATAGCATTTAAGTCCAATCACCAGTCTGGGACCCCTTTGAATCTATAAAAACTTGTTTCTGCTTCCTAAAGCATGGCACCCAAAACTGAACACACTATTCCAGAGATGAGCTAACCAGAGCTGAGTACAAAAGGATCTATGTCTATCATTTCCCTCATTCTGAATGCCACTTCTATTTCTGGAGTCTCGGATTGGAGAATAAATGTTTGTTGAATTGAATTGAAATAACTTATTGACTGTTGCACCACATTGTTGACTCCTATTAAGCTGACTGTCCACTAAAACCCAAGTGTGGTTTTTCACATGAATTGTTGTCCAGTCATACTTCCTCCACCCAATACTAATTTTTTAATAACCCCTGTAGAACCCTTATAATTATTATTATTAAATTAAATTTTATTAGTTTTAGCCTTTCATTCTACCCTGTCAGAATCTTAAGGTCATCGATTTAGAACTAAAAAGGATAATCCAGGGGTTCTTAATCTTTTTTGTGTATGTCATGGCTTTGACACACACCCTTTGGCTATCTGGTGAAACCTGTTGACCTCTTCTCCGAATAATGGTTTTAAATTCATAAACTGAAACACAAAGCATTACAAAGAAACAAATTATATTGAATCCAAATATTTTTTAAAACAAGTTCATAGGTCCTAGGTTAAGGAGCCCTGACCTAATTCAAGACCTTCATATTATAGATGAGGAAACTGAGGCCCAGAGAGGTTAAGGAAGTGGCCTAGGGTAACATAGGGAGTGTCAACTGAGATTTGAAGCTAAGTTCTAACCCCAAATCCAACAGTTTTTCCTCGCTGAACTACATTACCTCTTTTTGATCTCGATTACACACACATACACATACACACACGTATGTATATGTGTGTGTATGTACATATACCTATATATACATAAATACACATACATATGTATATAGTATGTATTTGTACATATGTATAGATACATATGTTGCCTCATTTTTACCCCAGCTTTATACATGTGTAAATATATGTATAGGCATATAGATATCTATGTTATTTATATATATAAGCAATGCTTCCCATGGCATCTAAAAATTTAATACAGCATGCCCTCTATTTGTTCATCTAAATCAGTAAAAATGTTAAACAAGACAAGAGTAATAACAACCCTGAAGGATTCTAGAAATCTCCATCCCAGTTGATCTCAATCATTAATCACTGTGCTTTGGGCCTGGTTATTCAGATGCCTCCAAAGGTTTGTAATTGTGCTATTACTTAGCCCTTGTCTCTCAATCTCCTTTCAGAAGGATGTCATGAGAGGCTTTGTCAGATGGCTTCCTAAAATTCAGTTATACTATCCCTAATTATATTCTCCTCATCTACCGGTCTAGTAACTCTGTCAAAAAAAGGAAATGAAATTAGGCTGCCATGAGCTGTTCTGGATAAACCCATGCTGGCTTTGGTGGTTGCCACTTCCCTTTCTGAGGGTTTGTAAACTATCCCTTTAATAACAGATTCTAGAAATTTGTCAGAAAATGAAGTTGCTGGCCTATAGTTTAAGAATTCTTCCTCTTTTGGAAAATCAGAATAAATATTGCACCTCTGTCCTGAAGTGTCGTAATTCTTCACAATTATTCAAAGATCACTGACAGTGGTTCAGCAAACTTAGCATCCTAGGGCAGGGAGTTTATAGATCATCTAGTGAATGAACACCTTTCTTTTACAAATGAAGAAACTGAGCCCTTTTTTTTTTCTTTTCCAGTTTTCTGGGATAGAGTTTGTCTGGGCTTGTTGCCTTTATCCTGTGTATTCCAGGGCCTTGCACAGCGCCTTTCAAATAGCAGACCCTTGGTATCATGATGGTCATTGAACCTCTTTGAACCTCAGTTTCCTTATCTGTAGAATGAAGTTAATATTTGCTCTAGGAGGTAAGGAATATGTTTTTGTAAACCTTAAGGCATTTACA